GGTGGGGCTCATTAGGTTAGTCTCTTTCATTCTGCACGTGTGAAATTTTCTATTATAAAAGGTAAATAAAGACCATAGATTAGACTGGTAAGTCTGAGATGCTGAACAATATAAAAACGTTTTAGGCCGGGCTTGGTGGCTCAGCCTGTAATCCCAGCACTTTGGGAGGCTGAGGCAAGTGGATTGCCTGAGCCCACGGGTTTGAGACCCACCTGGGCAACTTGGCAAGACTTCGTCTCTACAATAAATCAAAAATGAGCCGGGCGTGGTAGCATGTGCCTATAGTTCTAGCTACTTGGAAGGCTGAAGTGGAAGGAATGCCTGAGCCCAGCAGGTCGAGGCGGCGGTGGCCGTGAGCATGCCAGAGAGTGAGACTCCGACTCAAAGAAAAAAAAAAGTTTTAAGTTTGCGCCAGATGCACCGAGGAACCTAAGCACAGTTCAAGGTCTAAGTAACCGAAGGGAAAAAGCGACCGTGTTTCAGGTGAAGTTATTATTCGTTTAGGAACATACTTCATGGGTCAAGAAGTGACTTAAAGGTCTTGGAGGTAGAAAAAGGATGCTAAATATACAAGGGGTGCCCCAAAATAGGTATACAGGTTTTAAGAGATGTTGTCTATGTATAATTTTCCAAGTTGAATTACATTACGGTGGCCATGTGTAGTATGATGTTTGCTCAACCGTGAGTCCACCATTTTCTTTGACTGTCCTGCCTGTTGTGTAGAGATGCTGGCATTCACTTGATTCACACCATCTTTTGAGCAAAGGTCAGACTTAAAACGTGTATGCTTTTTTGGGCACCTCTATATTTGTCTAGGTGGAAGGTTGAAGGAGTAAAAGAACAGGAGACGAGAGAGTCTGAGGGAAACCCAGAAGGCCCATCAAGCCCCGATGCCAATTTTCATCCCAGACCGTGGCGCGCTGCGCAGTGAACAGCCCCGGAGCTGGAGTGACGGGCCGGAGTTCGTTGCACAGGGAGGGGGAGATGGTGGCAATTGAGTAGGGATCCTAGTGGGCCTGGGTGAGGACAGGAAGGATGGCCGACTGTCACCCCATCACAAAAACATAGGAGTCGTGGCTAGATTGCAGCACCGTTCACAAGAGCAAAAGCATGGATCCAACCGTGCTGCCCATCAAGACTGAAGTGGATAAAAAAAATGTGGTACGTATACACAGTGGACTATTATGTAGCCATAAAGAAGGACAAACGTATGGACTTTGCAGCAACTTGGATGGATTTAGAGTCGATCATACTCAGTGGTCTATCCCAGAAACAAAGAACAGAGTACCATATGTTCTCCCTCATCAGTGGGCCCTGAACATTGACCATAATACTGTAAGAAAGGAATTGGCAGTGGTGGGATACTGCTGGGGTGTGGGGGAGGGAAGGAACATAACATCAGTCAGGGTATCTGATCTCAGACCAGGCAGTAGGGACCAAAGGGAGGCCCAAACTTTACCTGCATGATGTCCACTTGTTTACCTAGTCCCGAATTGTACCCCACATCTTTAAAATAAAATATGCAGATATAAAAAAAGGCTGGGCGTGGTGGCTCAGCCTGTAATCCCAGCACTTTGGGAGGCCGAGGCGAGAGGATGGCCTGAGCCCAGGGGTTCGAGACCAGCCTGGGCAACTTGGTGAGACCCCTTCTCTCCAATAAATCACAAAAGCTAGCTGGGCATGGTGGCTTGCGTCTGTAGTTCCAGCTACGTGGAAGGCTGAGGTGAAAAGATCGCCGGAGCCCAGCAGGTTGAGGCTGCAGTGGCCATGAGCATGCCCCTGCATTCCAGCCTGGCAACAAGGGTCATCCCAGCACTTTGGGAGACCGAGGCAAGTGGATTGCCTGAACCCGTGAGTTCGAGACCCGCCTGGGCAACTTGGCGAGACCTCATCTCTACAAAAAATTAAAAAGTTAGCTGGGCGTGGTAGCGCGCACCTGTAGTTCCAGCTACTTGGAAGGCTGAGGCGGAAGGATCGCCGGAGCCCAGCGGGTGGAGGCTGTGGTGGCCGGGAGCGTGTACTGCCCTCCAGTCTGGGCTACAGTGAGACTCCATCCCAACCAAAAAAAAGTTAAAAAAGCCTAGCAAAGTGCTTGGTGTACAGATGCTTAATAAATACCGGTGTAATAAATAGTATGTTTTATTTATATCCTTACATGATGGTGGTCATAATGATAGTTTACTTTATATCCAGATCATCCTTAACTGTTCAAAAAGTGCTTCACTTTGAAGCTGGCAAGAATAACTTTTTCTGGGCCAAGGGTGGTGGCTCATACCTGTAATCCTAGCACTTTGGGAGACCAAGGTGGGAGGACTGCTTGAGGCCAGGAGTTTGAGACCAGCCTGGGCAACATAGTAAGACCCCATCTCCACAGAACATAGTAAAGAGAGAGAAAAAAAGGCCAGGTATGGTGGCGTGAGCCTGTAGTTCTAGCTACTGGGGAGGCTGAGGTGGGAGAATTGCTTGAGGCCAGGACTTTGAGACCAACCTGGGCAACATGGCAAGACCTCATCTCTACCAAAAAAAAAAAAAAAATAGATTTGCTTATTCAGCAAACAATTATAATACATATGTGCTATATGCCAGACACATCCTAGGGGCCATGGCTACAGTGGTGTGCAAAACGCTGCCTCTGTTCTCAAAGACCTCACACTTCAGTAGAGGAAGTGGTCGACAAAGTGTGTCATCACCACGCACCATGGTAAGAGCGACCATCGGGGAAGCAGGGGTGCTGTGGAGTCCAGGAGACGCCCCTCACCCAGTCTGTGGAGTCAAGAAAGGCTTCCTGGAGAAAGCGGCAATTTATCTAGGAACTAAAGGATGAGGGCTGGGCGAGGAGGCTCATACCTGTATCCCTGCACTTTGGGAGGCTGAGGTGGGAGGATTGCTTGAGGCCAGGGATTCAAGACCAGCCTGGGCAACGTGGAGAGATCCCGGCTCTATTTTATTTTATTTTATTTTTTTTGAGTTGGAGTCTCACTCGGTTGCCCAGACTGGAGTGCAGTGGCTGCTCCCGGCCACCGCAGCCTCGACCTGCTGGGCTCCGGCGATCCTTCCGCCTCAGCCTTCCGAGTAGCTGGAATTACAGGCATGCGCTGCCGCGCCCGGCTGATTTTTTGATTTATTGTAGAGATGAGGTCTCGCTGCCCAGG